TCTACATTACCAGGGTTCCTTCACCAGCCTAGAACCACCAATTAAATACAACAACACTACAACGTCTCAGAGATAACAGATGGTTTCAGTTCACATGACGAAACAAGACAGAGAGGCTCAAATAAGGACCAAAATACAGATGCCGAAAACCTATCGAGGGAGAAATGGTATTGGAACTATATGACAAGGAATTCAAAAGAATGATATTTAATGATACAGGTTCAAAAGAACCAATTGGGAGAAAGATTGAGAGAGCTGCAGATGAAATCAAAGAAAACACAAAACTTTAGAAGAATAAACTTACAGAATCAATGAAAAATTAGAAATCGTACAGAACCAACAAACAGAAATACAGATGATTAATACAAAGATTTCAGAAATAGATAATGCATTGAAAGGGCAAATGAGTAGAATATAAGCAGTGGAAAGCAGATTGAAGATAAATCTTTCAATACTAATCTGTAAGAAGAACAATAAGAGAAAACAAGGAAGTCTAAGAATTATGTTGGACACACCCAGAACTTTCTAAGGTGGGACATTCCCACTTGAAAAGACATGCACACCAACCCAGAACAGCTAGAGGAACAGAAGATACTTCTTGAAAGAAAGACCTGCGAACAAATCAAGATAAAACAAAACAAAACCAGACTGTTTGGCTACGACAATATCAAGCAAGCTGTTTGACTTGGAGCCATCAAGGCAAGAAAAGTCAGCCCATCAGGGTAAGTTCCTTTCTGAGACTGAAACTCAGAGGGAACACATGAACAGTCTCGTACGCTTGCCAGTGACCACCCTGGTCTACTTGTGAGTGGAAGTGGGGGAGATGCAGCAATGAAGATATGGGCTGAGTTTGGCCATGTCCCATAAACACCTGTTGACCTTGAAATGAGAGAGAGAAGAGGAAGAGCTGGCTGGTTTGAAGTTCAGGGAGACATATGAACTTCCAAGCCTATGGACAATGACCTAGCCACTGGGGCTAGAGTTGAGAGTGAAGTGGCCAGCTGGTCTGAATGGGGGGAAGTGGGTAAGAACTCCCAGACTTGCAGATAGTACTGATAGGATCTAGCTTGGATGGCTTGCTGACCAGAACTCAACCAGATGAAGATAAAGAAGTTTGAGCAAGCGTAAATTGCTATAACTTAATGAACTGGACCTTTGCTTTTGGATGTAGTTGCTCAAAATGCTAACTGAAAGAGAAGGACTCTTCATATCAAGGGTCAAGCTTGGATCTTCAGTACACTGGGTTGATAGTGATGGGCAACTTAGACATTGGCTGTCAAAAATGGGGGCTGTGAAGGTCTGAAGTGGCTGGCTTATAAACTCTCATGAGAGTGCTTAGTTTCAGAATAAGGGGAGTAAAGTAGAATCCCCACCTCATAGGTTTCCTCTTGTCCAGATCTGGAGAAAGGGTGGGGAGGATGGGGATAGGAGTTTATGATTTATTTGTGAGTAATTGTTAGCAGGACGAATTGCGATGGTCACAACTGTAAATGCAGAAGATATGTAGCTAAAGGGGGAGGGTAGTAGTTAATCTTTCTTTTCAGGAACAGGGGACCTTAGGCCCATCAAGAGGGTAGAGCATGAGTAGAGCACAGGAGTCTAACCAGAAAAGTGGTGATAACAGAGATGGAGGCAGAGGTGATGGCATAGAGAGAGGATTATGGAACGAGAAAGGTTGTGTGCCTGCAGGCTTAGAAAATGTACCCTTTGGCCATTTAAATGAATATATATTTTCTGTGTGGTGTGGAGTCCTGGTGTGGTGCTGTGGGCTAATATGTCAGACTGCAAAGCCATTTGAACTGCAAGGTTGGTGGTTCAAGCTCACCAGCTGCTCCTTGGATACCCTATACAGCGCCGCTCTGGGTCAGAACCGACTCGATGGCATTTAGCAACAACAATGTGTACATTAAAAAAATAAAATAAAAAACGGGATAGAGGTAAATACCTGATGTTACATGGAAGGAGCTCTGGTAGCGTAGTGGTTACGTATTGGGCTGTGAGCCGCAAGGTCAGCAGTTTGAAACTATAAGCTGTTCCACGGGAGAAAGATGAGGCGTTCTGCTCCTGTAAAGATTTATAGCCTCGGAAACCCTGAACAGAGTTGCTATGAGTCGGAACAGACTCCACGGCACATAACAACAACAACAACATGGAGGGGATTATAATCATTGCAATGAAACAAAAAATGATTTGTTTGAATATAAAACTGATGATCTGCCCTGTAAACTTGCACTCAATTCACAATAAAAACTTTGAAAAAGAATTATGTGGGACAGCATTAAGAATAATTTGTCTGTGATTAGAGTTCCAGAATGGGACGGGAGAAAGAGAGAGCGAGAGAGAGAGAGAAAGAAAGGGGCACAGAGACAATTACTAAAGATTTGTTGAAAGAAAACCTCCTTAATATCATAAAAGATGAGAAGATATGTATTCAAAAAGCTCAAAGAACCCCAAAAGGATGTTGTTGTTAAGTGCCATTGAGTTGGTTCCAACTCATAGTGACCCTGTATAAGGTTTCCAAGGAGGAGCTGGTGGGTATAAACTGCTGACTTTATGGTTCGCAGTCTAGTGCTAATTTTACAGTGCCATACCAGGAATTAAAAAAAAAAAAGTAGTAAAAAAATTTTAAACGAATTAAAGGAGAATGAAAATGAAAACACAGCAGTCCAAAACTTTTGGGGCACAGTAACCAGAGGGCAATTTAAAGCAATAAATACACACATCCAAGAAAAAAACAAAATTACCACTCTAACCGAACATCTCTAACAATTAGACAAAGAGCTGTGAAATAAGGCTACACTCACCAGAAGCAAGGAAAGAATAAAGATTGTTGTTAAGTGAATTGAGTTGGTTCATACAGACTCATAGTGATGCTGTATAGGGTTTCCAGGGAGTGGCTTGTGGGTCTGAATTGCCGACCTTGTAGTTCAAACTGACTTTACGGTCCAGTGCTTATCCTACATTTCCACACCAGGACTCCATAATAAAGATTAGAGTGAAAATAACATGAAACAGAATACAGAAAAACAACAGAATGAATCAATAAGACTAGAAGTTAGTTCTTTGAAAGGATTAATACAATTGAAAAACTACTGGTTAATCTAACAAAAGAAAGGAAGGAATAAGAAATAAAATGGGTGACTTCACAACAGATCCAAGTGAAATTCAAAGGATACTAACAGAACACTATTAAAAACTACACTTTATCAAATTTGAAAACCTAGATGAAATGGACACATTTCTAGAAAAACACGACCTACCTAACCGAAAACAAACTGAGGTAGAAAATTTGAGCAGACTCATGACAAAAGAAGAAACTGATCAGGGCATTGAAAAACTCTCAACAAAAATATAATGTCGCCGAACAATTTGCATAGCAACTGTGAAATGGGAATCTAATTTGCTGTGTAAACTTTCACTGCAAACACAATAAAATAATACTTAAAAAAAACAACTGACCCCAGAGGAAGGGAGGAACTCTGGTCGTCTCAGCAGCCCTGGAGTTGGCGCCTGAGCTAGGGCAATAGTAGTGTGGCTCCAAGTCATGAGCGGACCAAGGTGAAGAAACAGCAAAGAGGAGCGAAGGTACCCGGCCAGCCCAGAGCAGAAGAAGATGGAGAAGCAGCCTGGACTATTAAATGAAAGCATGTGAGAATCCCTGGGACATTCCACAGATATCAAAGAAATTTTGAAAGGACTTGTTTATAGGATTAAATTTAGAAAAGATGTTACAAACGTTTAAGAGAAATTCAAAGCAGGGGAAATGATACCACGTTGTATTCAACTAATTTATTATTATTGTTATAAAATATGATATCATTCTGGGCCCTGGTATGGTGCTCTAGGATAAGCACTAGACTGGTAACCACAGGGTTGGTAGTTCCAAATCACTTCTGTCGTGTCGTCGAGTCAGTTCTGACTCAAAACCTGTTAGGGTTTCCAAGAAGCAGCTGGCGGGGTTTGAACTGCTGACCTTGTGGTTTGCAACTATTATGTTGCATTATGTTGCTAAAGGGCCCTAGTGGTACAATGGGTTAAGTGTTGGACTGCTAACCAACAGGTCACTGGTTCAAACCCATACCAGCTGCTCCACGGGAAAAACATGTGGCCGTCTGCTTCTGTAAAGAAGTAAGCCTTGGAAATCGTGACAGCAATTCTGCTCTGACTTACAGGATAGCTATCGGGTGGGATGGACGGATGGACTAGGTGGGCTAGAGGTTTGTTGCTGTTGAAGTTAGTCCTTGACTCATGGCAACTCATTCACATAGAGTGGAGTAAAACACTGTCTGGTCAGATCATTGTGATCTATCTGTAGGGTTTTTCTTGGCTGATTTTTAGAGTAGCTCACCTGGCTTTTCTTCTTAGTCCATCTTAGTCTGGAAGTTCAGCTGAAAATTTCTGAGCTCCATAGCAACACACAAGCCTCCCCTGACAGATGGGAATTGTACCTGAGCTGCACTGGCCCAGAATAGACCCCAGTGCTTCGGGCGTATTGTCAGAAGGGACCAGTCACTGCAGAGGGATATCATGTTTGGTAAGGTGGAGGGTCAGAGAAAAAGAGGAAGACCCCCAGTGAGATGGACTGGCAAAGTGGCAGCATCAATGGGCTCAAGCGTGGCAACAGTTGTGAGGTTGGCCCAGGACCAGGCAGTGTTTCATTCTGTTGTGTATAAGGTCGTTATGAGTCGGTACCAACTCGATGGCACCTAACAACAACAACAACAACAACAACTCCCTTATGGAGGGTGAGAATTCTACCATGGACCCACCAATTCCTCTTCACTATGTTGTTGTCAAGTGCCGTCGAGTTGGTTCCGGCCCATAGCGACCCTGTGTAGGATTTCCGAGGCATAGCTGGTGAGCTTGAACCACTGACCTTTTAGTTCAAAACAACTTTGCAGTCCAGTGCATTAACCCACAGTGCCCCACCAGGCTTTAAGGCTAAACTGTCCTGTCTTTTTTCTGACCCCATCTGCCGGTTCTTGTCCACTTGAGCTTACCTTCAGGGTCTTTAAGTAGTTCGGCTTGCTCTGAGGGTCCTTGTGGAGTGACCTCGGAGGGCTGGGGCTGAGCATCATGAAGAAGGCGGGAAGGGCCTATGGGTGTCAACGGTGTCCACTGCTGCTTCTCTGCCAGCTGCTGCTGCTGAGACATGAGGGTTCAAGGGGGCTCAGCCCTGGCCAGTGACAGACTCAGCAGCTGTGCCCGTGTGCCTTGCTACAGTGTGGACACACAGAACAGTGGCTGAGCCTCTGGGAGCTGAGGTGCTCAATCAGACTGGGATGGTATCAGAGAGGAGGACAGGAGTTGGGGCCTACACAGGCGCAAATAGAGACCTCTGGTCAAGAGCGATGGTCTTACCTGCCTCAGGAGGAAGAGAATCCACCCTCCCAGGAAGACAGCAGTGAGGCTAGCTGCCAACAGGTCCTGGGGACCCAGCTCTGGGTACAGGTCTGGGTTTTTCTCTTCGGGATGTAGCTCCAGGTTCCGAGCTTCTTCTCGGCTCAGGTGCTGAGGGCAAAGGGACTTGCTCTTAGCTCCCGCCTCTCCACTGTGGGGCTAAACGCTCATTGCCACCTACACAGGACCTAGCTTAGTGGACTCAGTTTGCAGTAGAAAACGGTGCTCTTGGTGGGTTGAGACATCGGTGTACTGACAAGGAGGCAATCCTGACTCACAATTAACGTAAAGGACAGAGTGGAACTGCCCATTACTGTTTCCAAGCCTGCAAGTCTTTATGGAAGCTACAGCCACATCTTTCTCCTGTGCAACGGCTGGTGGGTTCCAACTGCTAACCTTTCAGTTAGAAGTCAAATGCTTTAACTGCATTGCCACCAGGGCTGCCCATGATGCCCCAGGGCTAATAAGCATTTCCTGGGGTGTCACTAGAAAATGTAGATTTCCAGGCCCCACCTTCAGAGATTCAGGGTTCGGTGGGGCTGGACTGGGCTCCCAGGTGATTCTGACGAGCCATCAGACAAGAATGACCACCGTAGGTAATAACTGCTCCTAACTTGAACCACTGGTGATTCTTGTCCCCCTCTCCCAGGAGAATGTGCTTTTATAGTTTTACTTTGGGAGAATTTGCAATTTTGACACAGCAGAGGAATAAAGAGAGCTGTGACCATGATCCACATACTGTTGTTGTTATTAAGTGCCATCGAGTCCTGTATAGGGTTCCTGAGGGGCGGCTGGTGAGTTTGAACCACATTGAGGTTCAGTGCTTATCCTACAGCGCCACCCCAGGACTCCAATTCATAACACAGGCAGCTAATGAACTATCTTTTTGATACTTTGACGTGTTTCTGATAATAATTTAAAACACGCCTTTCTTCTGGGAAATGGAGTGATGTCCAGTGACCCACTTCCAAAAGTTATGTCTAACAGTCTGAGAAAAAGATCCAAGGACTTCCCCGCCAGCTCCTGGATTCTCCGTCCCCCATGTCCGCCGCACTTACAGCACTGACCTCCAAGAGGAGATGTGGGGCCTGGGTGCTCCCAGGGGGTCTGGTCTTAGCAGTCGCACTCTGTGTGGTGGTATGGACCCTCAGCATGGTGGTGTGCAATACTGGAGGTGGCTCATGGTGTCCTGAGAAGCAGACTAAAGGTCAGCAGTCTACAGTGACCTTGGCCTCCCAGCCCCACCATCCTTTATCTTCATCAGCTCAACATTGGAGCCCCAGGGACCTCACCAATGAGCAGCCACTGGCTAGGGAGGGCCACGCTGCCAGAGGGGTATCTGACAGCAGTGCTGGGGGAGCCCTCTCGCTCTCCAGAGATTTGCAGTGTCACCTCGTCTGTGGTGGGGCCATTGCTGGGAGCCAGGGTCAGCCCACGAGGCTATGGCAGATGGAGAGCCATTAATGAGGGAGGCTCCTCTCTGCTCCACCTCATCACCCCATCCTACGGAGATTCCTTCTTACCACTAGGGCCATTCCTTTGTGGACCAGTGCTTTAGAGACATAGAAGCCAGCTTCATCCTTCCCCACATACAGGGTTGTTCTGGGCAGGAAGACAGGACAGAGGAAAAAGCTGAGTGATGGCGCTGGGGTGTTCAAATATGATAGGTGAGTGAAGTCATCCTAAACCATCCAGCCCCAGACAAACCAACAACTGACTGCAGATATCACCTAAGCCAGCCCCGATCAGAAAACCACCCATCTGACCAACAGACTCTTGAAAAATACTAGCTGTCTGTTGTTTTAAGCTCCTAAGGTTTAGTGTGTTCATTTTGCAGCAAATAGTAACGGTTACAAAATCCATAATCATGATATCTGAACCTATGTTTAGCACAGATCTCTTTCAAAAGCTCAGCTTTCTAAATCTGAACTTGCCCCCTCATTCCCTCTTTCTTCCCCCCCTTCCAGTGCTTTGTACCCTTTGAATGTGACAGCTCCCACATGTTTCTAGAAACTTGAGCATCATCCTGACTCCTCGCTCACAATCACCAGACTCTCCTTTCACCAAATTCTGACTAGTTTTTCTTCTTAACAACTTCACATTTTTCCACCCCTAGTGCTTCCACCCCACGGGAGAAAGATGAGGCTTTCTACTCCCGTAAAGATTTGTAGCCTCAGAAACCCTGTACAGGGTCGCTATGACTCCACGGCACATAACAACAACAACAACAAGTGATTCCACCCTAGCCCTCGGTGTCTTGATCTCCATCTTAACTGATGCAATATCTCCACATTTCTCTCTTAAACCACTTTAAGCTATTCTGCAAACTGCAGTCAGAGTGATTTTTCCAAAATAAAAATGCAATCACATCACTTGTTTGTTTAAAGCTCTCTAGTGGCTTCGCCTCAGTTTTAGGAGCCCTTGTGCAAGCATTTTAACATGATTCTATGAGATCCCTGTGTAACATCATGTTATAATAATAGCCTCTTTCCCCATCTGTCACCTCATTGGACCCTGAGAGCCCTGTGGGAGGGCCAATAGCTGTTGTACTCCCAGAGCCTAGCAGGTTATCGGCACATAAGAAAGTGCACAATTAATATTTCTGGAATGGACCGAACAAAAGCACAAATGCTGATTTCTCCAGTATGTCTTCTGGTTCCCCAAGATACAGATTGTAAATGATATTTAAAAATAAAGAGTAGTGACCCCAGAGATGGAGGCAGAGATGAGGACATGGAGAGAGAGAGAGCAGCTGAGGACTCTAGACTCATGGAAAGAGAAAAGCTGTGTGCTGGCGGCCAGAAGGCAGGCTTGCAGAATGTGTTCAGGGTTTGTCTAAATGATTATATATTTCTGAATGTGTTTTTTTCTTTTTTGTGTATATATACATATATATATCAGAGGGAATTAGAAGCAAATACTGTTGAATGATGATACACGGAGGGGATTATATTAATTGCAATGAAATGAAATACAATAGGATGAGTGCAAAACCGATGTTCTCCCATGTAAATTATCACTCAAGTCACAATAAAAGCTTTAAAAAAAAAAGTGCCGGCCATTGCACTGGATTTGAAATCTGGAGGCTCCCTGTTCTGGGTTTTCCTCTAGGTGGACAGGACAGCGGGGCACTTGCAGGGACTCATGGCAGTGGTGACTACTGTCCATCCCTTCGGAGGTACAGTGGAACCTATGAGAACCAGAACTCAATGGGACTGTCTTGTTTTTCCAGGTCTTGTACAACTTCCATCTTTCCTATCACTTGTCTTAACATAAACTAGTTGAGTTTTCCTTCTGACACTAGATCCAGCTTTCTCAGGTGTTACCGTACTTCAATATGTTTACATTTGGGTCAGCCAGCCTGGTGAGTCATGGCTGAATATTACCCCTGGTCATGAGGCCCGGGCTACAACACTTCCAGGTACAGGTACCTACAGCAGCTGGGTATCCAAGACAGAGAAATGGGCGGCCATGCCCTGGGAGCCTGTGGCAGGTAGCTGGATGTGGCCCCAGCGGAGGGCAAGGAAGTGCAGGGTGTCATGGGCCAGGGTGAGATGGGGCAGCTGGCGTAGGCTGTCCTGGTGCCAGGTGTAAATGCCCATCACAGGCACGCCCAAGTCCTGTGTCCACAGCACCGCCCCACTTTCTGGGTCCAAGGTCAGTAGCAGGCCCATCTCACAAGAGGCCAAGTGGCTCATATCTGCCAAGAAAGAGGGTTGGGGTAGAGACAGGGAGTTTTGCCTGGCACCTCAGAACATCTTGGGTACAGAAGCTGCTCTGAGAGTGGGTGGTTTGGAGAAGGTCATTCAGCTGAATGGAGGTCAGTGGAGGCCACCTGGAGGGTTTTCACAATATGAGAAGTCAGTCAGAGCTCACTGGGTCACCTAAATCTGATGGAATTGGTCACCTGGGGAGCTCTGTGGGCTTAGGGGTCCATCAAAATCATCTGAAGCTCAGATCACCTAAGAGAGAGGATGTAGGATGTGTGGCAGTAGGACATGGTCCTGTGACGGTCACCCAGAATAGGAATCAAGGTAGCCTGGATGCATGTGGGTCACTCGGGAATCACTTAGAGTGTGAGGGACTGAGCCATGGGTCCCTGAGGGTGTCTGTGATGCATCAGGATCAGTTCAAGCAGCATGGGGGAGTCAGGTAGTAAAGGGTTACTGAGGGTCACCTGAGAGGGTGCTCAGGCTGCTGGGTATGGAGGTCTTCATTGTAAGGGCGTGGTCAGGGCTAACAGGGGAGTCAGTCTGGAGGAGAGGTCATTTAGGGTCATCCGTCAAGGGCCATTCAATATATGGAGGTTGTTAGAATATGTGGGGAGTGCTTAGGGTGTGGGAAGTCATTGGGGTCACTCTGGGCATGGAAGAGTTAGGGTGTTGAAGGATTGCTCAGGGCACGTGGGCTTTGTCTGGGGGTTGAGAAGTCATCTGTCAGAGATCTGGGATCCCTGAGCAGGTCAGGTGGGTTGGTCACAATATGGGTAGGACTTGGTCATGGATGCCTGACATGGGACCTTGCTTGAGGACGAGGTCAGACAAAGGAGGCACTCACACTTTCCTGGTGTGCCATCCATTGGGGGTGCTGAGTAGCGGCGGTAGGTGGTATTCCAGTGCAGTGCCGGGGTCCTTGGGTCATGCATGGTGACCGTGTACTCTGGGGATTCCCCAAATCAAGGTAACTAGGGGTGCTCATGGGATGCTCCTCCCATGCCCACCTACCCCAAGGGTTATGCATCTTTGAGGGTGGGAGCTTCCCAAGCATGCAGCCTGCAAAGCTGTGAGCATCATCAGGGTAGAGGCCAGAGCTGTCTTGTTCATTGCTGCATCTCTAGTTCCTTGTTCAGGGCTCAGTAAGATGTTCGTTGATTGGCTGACATATTAACTGACTGGACTGGATTTAACTAAAATAGCAATAGCCAGAATTGGGCAGAACAGAAGGAAGTGCTGCCCAGAGCTTGCTGGGCAACTTGGGCCTGACTCACGTGTCCGGCCGATGTAGAGTCGGGGAGTCGAGGAACCATCTGTGGTCAGTGCCATCTGTGTCTCTCCTGACTTGGGATCCACCACAAACCAGGCATCCTGCTTCCTACCTGAGGAGATGGAGACTATCCCAGCTCCAGGATGGCATGGGAGAGGATGTCCATCCATAGATCCTGAGCCCAAGCTGGCCCACTATGACCTAGGGCTCCTTTCTTACCAGCACCACAGGCTGGACAGATGCTCACCTGTATAGAAGACCCCATCGGAGCTGCGGCACGGGGAGGTGAGAACCAGCTCAGGGATGGTGAACGGCAGTTTCTAAGGAGGGAGGACAGTACCAGGAAGGAGTAAATGTGGAAGCACAGTACAGCATTCACGGTGTCAGGTTGCTATGAGTAGGAATCATCGGGTTGGCACACAACAATGACATTGTTTAGGTTCAATGCTGGATCATTGGTAAAATTCTCATCTTCCATGTGAGAGATCCCAGTCAATGTAGTCCATTCAGAGCCCCCATTACTCAGTGGAGGATTGAATGTTACTATGATGCTGACTGTAGGATAAACACTGCACTGATAACCACAAGGTTGGTGGTTCAAAGCCACCAGCCATTCCTCAGAAACTCTATTCAGAATTGTTCTGAGTTGGAACCAACTCGATGGCACACAACAACATGATGCAGGTTATGTTCCAGGGGAACTTCCAGACTAAGACAAGGAAGAAAGGTCTGATTGCTTTAGGAAACCCCAGTTGGTGAAAAATCCTGTGGACAACAATGGTCTGATCCCATTGTGCATGGGGTCTCCATGAGTTAGGGGTCAACAAGATGGCAAGTACAACAACAAGAGCAACAGAAGCAAGTGGAAGAGTGTTCCAGACGGAGAAGACAATTTGTGCAAAGCCTTAGAGTTGATAGTCAACTTACTGAAAGGCATCAGTTAGAACGTGAGCACAGCAGGGTGGGTAGCAGGGTAAGTGGTAGGGCTGGGGGTGCGTGTGTGTGTGTGTGTTTGTGTGTGTGTGTGTGTGTGATGAGAGATAAAGCTGGAGAAGTAAGACAGACCCGGATCATGCAGGACCTTCTATGCTTTGTCAAGGAGTGTGGGCTTCATCAAGGGGAATTGTTGCTCAGGAGTGTCATGGCTTGAACTGTGTCTACCCAAAGTAGGTGTCAGTTTGCCTGGGCCATGGTTTTCAGTGGTTTAGTAGTTATGTGATGATCTCCCATGATGTGCTCGGATGTGATACACCAATAAGAGAACTAAGGATGGTGGTGTTGTTAAGTGTCATTGAGTTGTTATCGACTCATAGTGACCCTATGCACAACAGAGGGAAACACTGCCCGGTCCTGCTCTAACTTCACAATCATAGTTACATTTGAGCCCATTGCTGCTGCCACTTGGCCAAGGAATCTCGTTGAGGGTCTTCCTCTTTTTCTCTGACCCTCCACACTACCATACATGATATCCTTCTCCAGGGACTGGTCCCTCCTGACAATATGTCCGAAGTATGAGAAATGAAGTCTGGCCATCCTGGCTTCCAGGGAGCACTCTAGCTATACTTCTTCCAACATGTATTTGTTTGTTCTTTTGGCAGCCCATGGTACTTTCAATATGTCCTCCAACACCATAACTCAAATGCTTCAATTCTTCTACAGTCGGCCTTTTTCACTGACTGACTTTCACATGCACATGGGGTTATTGAAAATACCATGGCTTGGGTCATGCAAACCTTAGTCCTCAAACTGACATCTTTGTTCTTGAACACTTTAAAAATTGTTGTTGTTGTTGTTAGGTGCCATTGAGTCGGTACTGACTCATAGCGACCTGATGCACAGAGAA